ATCTGAAGCAGGCTCGACGAGGGGCGCCCCGAGCCCTAGTACGATCCAACTCCATGGGGACGGGAGCCGGAGGTACCGAGACGGGGGCGCGGGCCGCGGGTGGCGCAGGTGCGGCCACCGGGCGGATGGGGAACGGAGTTGCCGAACGGGTGATAGGGAATGCGCCACGCGGAGCCCCCGAAGGCATCCGCAGGGTGGTCCCTTTGATGAGCTTCGCCCGCACCAAGGCTTCGTATTGGCGGAAAGCCCGAGTGCGCCAGCCCAGATAGTCACGGAGGTCTGGGGGGTCGTTCGAAGACGTGATGCCGTTGTTGATCAGGGGGTCAAGTCCATGGCAGTACTTGGTCACCTTAACCAACGCGTCTTCGAATCCGGCGAGGACCATTAGGTCCTCGAAGTCGTCGGTGTATCCATAGACGTCCCGCGTTCCCATGTGATAACCCGCGCTTTCCAACTTGGCGAGCGCGAGGTCTTGCTCGTTCTCCTCAACGAACCAAAGGCGAAACTCGGAGAGGAATAGGTTCCACCGAGGGAAGGGGAACGGGGTTTTGCTTCCATGACGCTCTGCCCACTGCTGGGCAGGTCCCTCCGCCATATAGGACATGGCGTATCAGACGGCCTTTTCTTCGCTCGGCTCTCTATGGCGTAGCGAAAAGTCTTGACCGCGTATAGGAAGGCGCGGCCGCGTTTGCGATCTCCGTTAAACGCAAACGGGTGGTTTGGCCGTAAGACCAGTTTTGAGGCGACAGTAATGTCACCAAATAACGCATCTGCGTCGGGGGCATTCGGAGCTGCCGAAGGCAGTTCGGGAGCTGCCAAAGGTGGTGCGGCAGCGGAAGCCTGGGAAGCAAGGTGGGTGAGGATATTGGTGAGGTTGTCTAGTTTCGCCTCAAGTGCGTCCATGCGCGCATCAGCGTCCGGAGCAGCTCTGGTAGACATAGCGGGCGTAAAGACGACAAGAGCAGAGGAGGAGGGGTCAAGTGGCAGGGGCGGTGACGAGGGGGGTACGGACTCGTACTCCGAGCCTGAATCAGCGCCAAACCTGGCAATCTTGACCGGTTAATCCCGTAGAGAGTTTCTTCTGCTGTAAGGGCAACCCTAGAGACTCCGACGAAAGCCTAGCAGGGGAGGATCCAAAGCGTGAATAAAAGCTACAGGAAATACACGGAGGGACCGACCTAGCAGGGGAGGATCCAAAGAGAAGAAACTCTAAGGGTCCGCCTGCTAGGGCGCCAACTATATACTGGTCGTCCGTAACTGCCGACATAGAGCGCAGAAGGCCTGAGCGGCGTCGCAGGCTCTGTCCCAAGGTGATCGTTGGGAGGGTCTTGACGGATCGGTGATTGTGCGGGCGAAGGAGGCCGTGGACGATGGTCGGGGTGGGTCGGAGCGTCTGAGGGGGCGCCGGTCGGATGCGCCTCGGATGCGTTCGGAGGGTCCGAAGGAGGCCGAAGCGGGGGTTCCCCTGACAATATCCCATATAACATAGTATGAAGTATGTTTCAACTAGTTCTGCTAGAAAAATGCATATAAATGCCAATGTCACTATATGATGTCGGGTGATGTTTTGGTATGACATCGGGAAAACATCAGGCTAGGTTTGTGGTGTAGGTGCAATAGGGCTGATATTTGGTGGTAAGTCAATGCTTTGGCCCATGTCAGAGAGAGAAATAAGACTCACATCCTGAATACTATTTTGAATTGATTGTGTCAGATATGGCTATTTACAAACACACACAACCCCCAGGAATTGAAAACTAATACTGTTTTTGAAAGCATGGTTCTATCTGGTTTATAAACCAGATTAACTTACAGTGTGCAGTTGCCTAATCTCAGCCGACACTTCGGTGTAATGATCTGATACTTGTCTCCTTGTGATATTCAGCGCGTTGCCGCTGATGTTTGCTTGATATTCACTCCAATGATGTCATTCCTTTCCGTAGTATCTAAACAATATGTTCGGGGAGAAATAACTTTACGCCTGTTCTTGTGCCCTTGTGATCCGTGTGGCAGCACCTTAGTCAGCTTCTGTCACACCCTAGTTGCCCTTACAAAGGATTGCTAAAATTAAAAATAATTATTTTTCAGCTATCTCACACACACCCACAAAAAAATTAGAAATTGGCAGATAGTTGACTGAAATACTACAGTATTTGATGCAAAGAAAAATACTACTATAACAAACTTTCAAGTTGATAGGCAGGACCCACCAACTGACCAATTATCCTCGCTGTATCCTGTTGGTTTAGTGATGTGATGTGAGACACAAGGGGGGGGTTTAAGATTTAAATCTCATATATAAGGTTGGATTTCTTTCTTTTCTAACCCTCTAGGACCCTTCCACCTATCCAAACCAAACTTGCCAAAAAAACCTTGAATTCTTCAGATATGTCGCATAACTTGCAAATAACTTGAGCAATATGGTAATATGTAGTGAGTATTATATATTTCCACTGGCTCTAGAGCTATATTTGTTGCGGGTATTCATTATACAAAGGGTGTCTTTTTGCTACCTCTAGTCCCTCCAAGCCTCCTCCCTATGTGCCTGATAAGGATCTTGAACCCCTTGGTGAGAGATGTGAATTTTGGCAATCTAAATGATTTACAGTACTTAATATACCATGGCCAGTGTCAGTGTTGCAGGAGATAGCAAGATTCTTCCCAGGCCTCAGCAGCAATGGCCACTAACTGCCACTGTCCTCCTATCATGACCCGCTACAACTTGAAGACAGACATTTGAGCACATATTAGATCTGGCAGAGACCCCACAGTGGCCGCTGTGGCGCAACGCTTACGCGGCGCACACTGTGTCAACGTCCCTTCTAATGACACACTGGTGCTCCGATTGCGCGGCGGGGTTAGGGTAACCACCAAAAACCGTTTGAAATAGGACTGAGAGTCTGGGACTAAGCCCACTGGGGCTGCGGGCAGCTTTGGGGCAGCTGAGTCAGTGCGGTTTCCATATGGTCAGCAGCCACCGGCCGGGGCGAACACGGGTCGCGCAGATCCCGCGATCCCGCGATGTGGCACGCACACAACAAAAGCCGGCGGGGCGGGAAGGACATTGGGTGGAAGCTGATGGGAAACTCTAAATTGCTGATTGCCGTGATGATACTCTGCGCGTCCGTGATGCACGCGTGCATGGCTGACGCCCATAACGGGGCGTGGGCCTGGTGGAGGGAGGCAAAAGGTCGCTTTGGGTGCCACAGCCAAGTTCGGCGAAATGAGATGATTGTCTGATGCTCACCAGTGGCCCATGTCGACCTGCTGGTGATTCGGGAAGAGGAAGAACTCCATAAAATCGCTGTGTGGATGTGAACAGAAGGAAAAAAATGTAACGGTGCGCGCGGGAGTCGAACCTGGATTCATCTGTCGTTGCTCATTGCTTGACGAACGTGCGAGACAAGCGATTACCGATGTGACCAACGCAATCCCCCGACTGCAGGCCGACAAGTTGAACCGGCTCAACGCTGCGTCCAGACCGCGCGCAGCTGATTCGTCGCGTTGATTGGGGCGGCATTCGCGACTGGACGGATGGCAGAACGGGGTGAGCGTTCGAGACACGTCCCGGTCCCATCCGATCCGAGGGCCATCAGAGTCTGGCCCAGCGACATTCGGTCTACTTGGCGGTCGTCATAGTCTAGACCTCCGGCACCTTTCTCTCCCATGAGCCTCCATGCAGGTCCCCACAGCAGCAAATCAGAATGTCGGAAGCGCAACCGGGCCGGCTGACGGGGCAGTCGCAGATAATCTTCATTTGATTTTCGCTTTTAGAAACCACGTATCAGGTCTGCGATTTGTGTTCCGCTTTGCTCGGCCAATCATCCATCGCTCAGTCAGCTTGCCTGCGGTAGTAGCGCGCTGCGCGATTCGAGTCCGTGTGGCGGGGACTGACTGCCCACTACCCGCCTTGTCATCCTGGGTGTGCAGACATGGCGCATCGATGGCATGGCCACCCAGACTTCCACTCCACACTCTACACGCGGCGTCCGAGTCCCTGCTCTTCCACCACTCGCTTCTATGACTTCTGTTGTGTGCGCTGTGCGCCGCCAAGGCAAGTTTAGCGCAGTGTAATAGCGCTGACGGAGTGAAGCCGATTTTGACGAGTTCTCCTGGTTTACTTAGCATCCGTAGCGCTATAGCGCCGACTGCTGGAGCCAAATTTGGCGGTGTTGTATTTCAATCTTAGAGTCCAGTAGGTCATTATGTCGCAATGGGCACGGTGTGAGCCTGTGGATCAAGCGTCATGCGCCGGTTAGGCCAGGCGCGGGGAGGTGAGTGCGAACTGCGAAGAGGACCTGATGCCTGTGTTGATCATAGTCTAGGCCATCCGTGATCCCGAGACCAAATCCATTGGATGTATAACAGATATTAGTCTGTTTCAATTGGACGCTCGTTGCATAGCTGCAACGGAAATCAGATGCAATTAGCGTTGATGATTGTGAGGCGTACAAGACAGTTCGCAATGTATACCATTCCAAGATGTCATCACAGGCGGAGGGAACCCGGTCGTTCGCGATGGAGGTGGTCGTCTATTGAATATAGTCCCTGCGGTCGTTGCCCGACGTCGTTTTGATTGGTATTCTCTATGCGTCGAATGTCAGCGCAGCCCTGATTTACTCCCGAGAGAAAGATACGCCTAGTCCGGAGAGCGCGATCCGTTGCGTTACAGAGTTCTTGACGCACGCTCCCAGAGTTACAGGCAATGAAGCGACACTACGAATAACTAGTCGCTTGGAGCCTCCGATCGCAGCGGGATCAGCGGGCCGAATTCGAAATGCGTGTTCAGTTCAGCGCTGGGATTTGAAGAGCAAAGAATCCGAACTGGGCACGCCGGACGCGGCCATGCTGGAGTTGAAGTTGCGAGTTGCGAGTCGCGAGTCGCGAGTCGCGAGCTAACCCGCACACACCCAGATGACAGACAGCCAGCAGGGGGCGCGGCGTAGGAAAGGGGTATGCACAGCATCACGCAGATACATACGCGTTCCTTGCCCTTGTATTCACGCGTATTCGCCGTGCCCTTGTTCCCAGTCGAGCGTGGGCGGGCCGGGATCGGCGTTGATGCGTGATGCGTTGATCGTACGCCGATTAACCGCGGTGTTGCCATATTCATGATTCGAGCAGATGAGGATGTTGTGAGGAAGGTGGTTCAGGACCAGGTACGCGTCGACTAAAGCATCGCCGCGGCCAGCGAGGAGGAGCATATGCGCCTGCGCTTGAGATGGTTGGGATGGTGTAAGCGGCCCAAGCTGCGGTGCAACGACCAGGCGCTTGGGTCGCTGGAGTGGTTGTGCGCTGAAGTCGGGAATTTGCATGTGTCGCTGCTTGGACGCCCGCTTGGCCCCAGGATGTTCCCAAGTAGCATAGGAAGAAATTTTCCCGTGCATCCCGGAGCAATCCCACCGGGGTTGCGCGCTCCTCGGCCGACGCGGTACATGGTTACCCCGCCGAATCGACGGAACGCACCCGACTTCCTACAGAAAGTACGTCTGCATACCACATCGACGTGGGGTAAGGAGAGAGAAGTGACGTGGCAACACGTGCGTGTGATGACGAGATATGCCGGAATGCCGACGCATCACACGGGTTGTCATCCCCACTTTGTCGTTAATTGAAGGTTGATCACCGGCGAATCACCGGTGCATATTTTTTGCTGCTGAGAAATCGCTGAGCAACAGGATTGGTGAGCCCAAGTGGTAAGCGGGCGGCGTGAGTGAAGAGAAGCCACGGTGAGCCTATCTGTATAGTTGGGTAAATGGGTTGCTGTTGTCTGTTAATTGCCTACAACACAACTACAACAGCAAGTGGCTGCTTCAAGGCTGCTTACGTCTGTCTGTTGACCGATCCACATCAATCGGCAACGACGAATCGGGCCGCGGGTCGATCGGAGATCTGAGCTGGCTCGGCTCGCGTGAGTCACCCGCTTCGGGATCCCTCTTTGACCGCTGCCACGGGCTTTTTCGCCACGACCAAGCAGGGGTATATAAGGCGCTGCGGGCTGGGCACCTTCCGACTCACTTCCCGCTACTCCCGCCCATCGCAGATGCCTTCTTCCAGCTCTCCCCTCTCGTCCACACTGCACGCCGCGTCCCTCGTGGACCCCGCTAACCACTCACCCGCCATGCTCCAGCTCATTGACATACGCTTGACAAAGCCTGTTGTCGGTGCGTCGCCTCTTGTCTTGCCTTTGTTTGTCTGACTCACTTTTTTCTTTCAGAATACCTCATTGACAGTGTCGTCGAGACCGTCGACTTTGCCATGGGCCGTCCCTCGACCCCGAGGGGCCGAAACCCGTCGCGCTACCTCAGCTCTTTCACCACGTTTGTGCACAATGTCCTTACAAGGGCTGAAGTCACTCCTGCAACCGTCCTCGCTTCCCTCGTCTACATCTCACGTGCCCGCCCTCACCTCTCTATCGCTCTTGAAGAATGGGCGCTAGAGCGTGTCTTCCTCGGCGCGCTGATCGTCGCCTCAAAATACACCAACGACTCAACACTAAAGAACATCCACTGGGCGTTATGCACGGGCGTCTTTGGGAAACGGGACGTGGGGAGAATAGAGAGGGAGTTCCTCGATGTGCTCGACTGGGAGCTCGCCATCAAAGAAGCCGACCTCCTTGCCCACCATTCGGCCCTTACCTTCCCCTCCAAACACCTTCCCCCCGCCTTCACTCGCCCACACACACGTACGCACACCCGGCACCCCTCCTCCATGTCGATTCCGGAGCTCGCGCCGAGTTCGCCGGTGTCCTCGCTCGACTCGCTCTCGCCACCGACACCGCTACAGCAGCACGTGCCCGTGGACGTCGCTGCCCCGCCGAAGGGCCGGGTGAACGACGCCTTCCGCGTCTTCCCTATACCCCTTCCCATCCGACACCATGCGCACCACCAGCGTGTCCGCGTCGCGTAATCGCCAGCGCCGACGATGTTGTGCCCGTCTTGTCTGCGATCCGCCTAGCGCCTTTCGCTTTTCCTGGCCCGTTGGTTGGCACCAGCGCCAATGAGCGCAGCACGCCGCATGCGTCCTTGGTATATACCACTACAGTACCCATTTGCATATCACGAAGCCATGTACATACAGTGCTTAATTATGAGATCAAGAAAAGAATGAATGCATCCTCAACAGCAGAAGAGCACATGTGAACTAGCGGGTGAAAACCGCATGTCGTCTATAGACTCGCTGAGTACGGGTCCGGGCTGGGCTTGATCCAAAAAATGGACTTCAAAAAATTTTGGTGGATTGTTGTTTGTTACAAGTTGTTTGTTACAAGTTGTGCTGTAGTACAGATATCTGACAGGACTCGGAGCAGATTAAAAAATTATGCTTGCGCTCGGCACCACGGTGGACGCTAAGTATTCGGCCAAGAAGACTCGGAGTGCTTCCGGTTCACGTTGCACAAGCCCCCTGGCCAGGCATCCGAGTTGAATTGCTGCTAGGAATTGACAGATGAGCTACAGCCTGAGTGCGTTGACACTGGTGGCAGGATCTGGGTAGCACGAGCGGGGCGGAAGTCGACGGTGGCTTGATAGATTGTCGCCTGCTATATGAAGGACAGTACTGGCAGCACTCTAGACGATGACAATGGCAGTTTTTTGGTCACGTTCGAGGCACGCAGGGGAGGGACAAGGATCGACTTGCCGCGTGGACTGCCCTGGGTTGAAGTGATTGATGCGCGCGGGATCGGTGCGACGCAGAGTGAGTCTGATGATAAAGAACGAACAAGACTCACTCGGAAATGTCAGCTGATCGGCGCGGTTGCGTCACGACTCCGCACAGCGCAGCGAGACCCGTCGGGCGCACTGCTTCGTGGCTGCGGGATTCCGCGAGCGGTATATCATTCGTTTGAGGCCCATCGGCTCGGCTCGGCGAGTTACGAGTATTGTCGGGCCGTCGGGGGGCAAGGCTGTAGTATGCGGGGAGTATGTAAGTGTCAGGGAAACGGAGTACGCGGCCTGGAATGGTTCATTTACTGCAGGAGTCTTCCGTCGTAAGTTCTGCTCATTGCGGTGCTAGACGGAGCACACTCAGGTGAAACCACGATGAAGTTCTGAATCAAGTTCCGCAGAGGAGGTGTCAGCCCCAGGCGCAGCGTCCGTGTACTCGCGGGCGCCGGCAAGCCCTTCTAGAACGCGGTTCAGCGCGCGTTCGTCGTCGCCAGAAGGAAGGCTGTCCACTCACGCCACGTCATCGCCATCGCCAATCATCCTGTGACGCGTGACAGGGGACCCCGGACACCCCGCCACCTTTTCTCCTCCTTCCTCTCCCAGCGTGAACAACACGTCCGGCCCGCCGCGGCGAGAGAGTCCAGCAAGATGGCAAACGGGATGACACCAACGACTGGAGGCACCATCGAGCCCCGCTACGTCTTCTTCACGCCGCCAGGCCTGGCACCGCTGCAGCAGGCCCAGTACCACGCCCAGCAGCAAGGACTGGGGCTGGCGATGGCGGGGTCGCCGCTGGAGACACAGCGGATAGCGGCGCAGGCGGCGATGAGGCGGGGGATGACGACGTGGAAGGTGACCACGACGAATGGGAATGGGGGCGGTGGGGCATTGCCGACGATGACAACAACCTCGATTACGCCAACCCTGCCGTTGCCGCCAACGACAGAGAAGGGAAAGGCGAAAGAGAAAGCGAAGGCTGCGGTCGTGGCCCAACCGCTCCTCGCGACGGGCGACTGGGAGAAGGATTTGGTGCAGTTAGCAAAGACGGCGGAGCTCAAGTGCGTGTTTACTTGCCAAGTTGTGTCTACTCTAACTTCCCGCGTTTAGAAAACACGCATTGACACTGCAACTGCACACTGCACATATACTCTCCGCGCACGCTGCGATAGACCAGAAGAGTCGGGCAGTCGAGGATGTGAAAGAGCAGAAGAACAGGTGCACTTACCTTTGCTAACGCAACCAAATCTTATTCTCATAAAGACTCGAATCTGAACGCAAACGGCTCATCGACCTCCTCGCGCAAATAAACGACGACCGTACTGCCGCAGACTTGCTCGAAACGTCTCTCGAGCGCGAGCGCACACAGCTGCGCAACAAAATCACAGAGTTGGAGGAAGGAGAGTACAAGGAGGCGCGGGGAGAAGTGGAGAGGCTCAGGAAAGATTTAGGCCAGCCGCCGTTGCCCAGTTTGAGAGAGATGGTGGAAGGGTTGGGAAGCGAGTGAGTGTTCTGGTCTTTTTGCTTTCCCAGTTACCTCTTTCACTGGGCACCGTATTGCCTGTGGTGTTGACGGCGCTGCATCGCGGGCGAAGTCGGCGTCCATCTTGCTTCTTCCGTTCAAGTTCTCTTCCTCTTTCCCCCCATCCTCCTTCTTCACGGGCTACCTCGGTCCCGCTACTTTTCAAGGCTAGCTCATCTATGGGCTGAGCCGCTCATCGCGACTTCTTTTCGCTGTTCCGTTTGGCTGCCATATGGCGCTTTAGCTTGATGCTACACCCATCGATACCGAAACTACCCAGTGGTGCATGGGATGAGCCGGATTGGATTGCCATCGCAACTTCTTCGCTCTTGTCTGTGGCGGTAGCGGCATCTTACGCCCGCAGAACCGCAATCACCGCTGGCTCGGGTGGCCACGACGCAGTTTAATGGCTGTTATCATTCCTTTCCTTCTCGCTTTTCTTCGTCCTTCGTTCGGCCGCAATGGTACTACGGCCAAGTCCTTCTGTCTTGGCGCTTGGACCGAAGCTTGGAGGCACTTGGATCCATTGGGCTTTGCCATGCCATCTGCCAACAGTGGGCTCCACCACCATTCACATATGCTTGGGTCTCCTGTCCCCGGAAGGCTCAAACTGGTTCGTTTCCCTCGTTCCTTCTTCCTTGGCCGTCGCCAGTCTCCACCTTGGTTCCGCGCGGAAGGCTACAACGCCTGAGCGCTTCAGGAAGCTTATGCCTCAGCGCTTGAGCTGTCCACTGCATCGAGTGTGGGGCTGCGGCTCGCGGGCCGGACTTAGCGCACATACGGTTCGAGTCCGGTTTTCTTGTCTATTCTTGTCTCCCTCTCCCTCGCTATCTCAGCTCGTGATGGCGAGCCGGCGTCTATGCGAGGAATCTGTCCACATCCGTGTCCGTGGCGGGCGGGTAATTCCCACCGTTCCTCGCGGTTTCTGGTTCTGTTTCCCGTGCCCTGTCCACCGGCCGGTTCTGGCGTAACAGGCGGAAGATGTCAGGAACGGAGACCGGAGTGGGCATGGGAAGGGGCAGTGACAGATGCCAGCGGCTCGTCCGTGGCTCGCGCAGTTCCAACGAAAACTGGCGATCTGCGCTTGTCGTTTTCGTTGCGGCTAGTTTCAGTCTTATTCCTGCCACGTGCCGTCTCCCCCCCTCTTTCTTTTATCTGGCTGACTGCTGTGTGAATTTCCTAGGTACCTCGAGCAACGACGCGCCGCTGGGCCAAGCGCCGGTCCCGCTCCGCCCGCCGCGAACACCGGCCCGGGGGAGGCTGCTGCCCCTGTCGTGAAGAAGCGGAAACGCGCGCCGGCGAGTGCGCCGTCAGGGGCTGGTATGCTTGTTTTCTTCCTCCGTTGGCACCTCCGTCTGACGCCGCGGCCTCAGCAGGTGCTGCGACGAGTGGAGAACCTGCTCCGGTAAAACGTCCGCGTGGGCGGCCGCGGAAGAGCGCCCCTGCTGTGCCTCCGCCACCTAGTGGCCATGGTGCGCAGGGGGTGCCTGTGGGTGGGACAGTGATGGTGTAGGTGTCGATGGGAAGACTGATGCTGCTGTAACTTATGTTGTTGTTGTGTTAGTGATAAGATTTACGAGTTGGTGTTGTAGCATTGTTCGCCTTTGTAAAACAGCAACTTGATTGAATGAGCAGCCGCTGTGCTGTTAGATAGCAAGTACTCATATATCCTCATATTCGACCCCGGCTATCGTCGAACTAGGAACGCGAGTGCGGAATCGGAACAACATCGAGGGATGTATGATCAAAGTTCTGATGATCAGGTTTGCTGTACTAACAGTCAACATCGGGCTGATATGATGACCCGCGGGGATCTTCTCTTTGCTGAGCTCAGCGCTTCTTCTCGACTTCTTTCACAGCAGCAACATCCAGGGATATGCTGTACTCGACCATGCATCATGATCTGGTGAGTTGACTGGTTTCCAGAACAGCGCAGGCTGATCGCCGTGGGCCACTGGGCCTGTCGCAGTATTTTTGAGTCACCCATTGTTGAGGGAATGGTGTACTCATACCACGAGGCAGATTGTGTGGCAACTGCGGCGACGTGATATGGGCGAGCCGGCTCACAAACCACTGCGCTGAAACAGCCTGAAAGGAGTCAAAGGACAATGTCCACTGTTCTTTACCAGGGTCTAAGATTCGAAAAAAAGTCCGGATATGTAAGGTTGAATTTCTTTTCCCGGCCCTTTGCTACGTGTCAAGGTGATCAAATCAGCAAGAAACCTCGGATTTGGGGTAGGGCTTGGTTTGTAAAGATTTTGGAGGTTATCAAATGGTTTGATAAAAATAGCCTCTGAAACCCTGTTTATCAACCGGTTTTTCGGTTTTATAAACCAACTGATAGTGCCCCAGATTTTGGGGCACTATCCCAGAGCAGCGCTGGCCCGGGCATGGATGGTAGCCCTAGACGATTCAAAGGCCTTTGCAAAGGTCATATAATTTACATCAATTGATGAATAAATGAAAAAATAGCTTATAAACTTGTCTTAATACTTGTCTCGTGAGGTATTTTGACTTGTTGACAGTGCTTTACCAATGCATTTACCAACTGCTTGGTCCTGAATTTTTTTTTTTCTATACTGTAGTATTTTACTCAGTTTGTATGTCACACGTCACACAGCCTATAAAATTCGATTTTTTTTTTCACATGTCACATTGTTTTGCTCAAATTCATGTCCCAAAAGGTACTTTTTGACATTTCCGGGAGCCTCACCAAGAACTTCCTAATTAGGAAATAATTTGAATTTAAATTTTCATATCAAATGTCACACTATTTTTTGGCATTCGAATGGAGGAAAATACCACAGTATAAGACTAAGGTGCCACCACACAGATCACAAGAGTGCAAGAACAGGTGTAAAGTTATTTCTCTCTGAAACTCTAGTTCATACAGGCTTTTATATACTAGTGAAAGAATGACATCATTAAAGCAAGAATTAATGCGCTCATAATCATAGGTGAGACAAATATCAGATGTTTATATTGGAGCGGCAGTGGAGTTGCACCCCAGCCCACTACACTTTACACTACATTTATAGTATTTTAGCATGGAATACAAAGTGAGTATACAGAATGCCCACTTTCCTATGGGAAGGCTTTCAACATCTTACTTAGGGTACAGTGTGAGTGTGGCTTGTGTCATACATGTATCATTGCTCATTGATTACATACAATAGTTATGGATGGTGTCAGACTGCAGGTCGGGCCGTGTAAGGTCTTCTCCTAAGAATGTGTGCCCGGAACAGAACAGATGAATTGCCGGGCCCATGAGTATGGCGAGTGGGTTAGATCAAAACCGAAAGGGCTCGTTAACTCGGTCCCTTGTCGCTATTGGTAGTCGAAGGTTCGAATTGGGTCGTGTCGGGCCCGATGAGTCGGTGATTCCTCCTTGGTACACTATTGTGCCGACAAGTGCGGAGTGCAGACAGCAAATGAGCTCTCTAACCAATCTAACCCACAAAAACAACCAAACTTCAACTTGTCGTAGAGAGAGATATGTATAATGTCGAGTAGGAAAAGTCACAAAACCCAAAAATCATCCTCTCCTTGTGCGGGAACAGGCCCCTGTGAACAGAGCCTTGTCACAGATGTGTAAGATTGTAGGGTAGATACAAGTCTTCTTGCGAAAACTTCGATTTTGCATGCCCCAAAGCGTACTATCGACGAAACTCTGCAATAGAAAAGCGCCAATATGATGCCCAGAGAGTTTATATTCATTGGATCAGGAACTAACTGCCTTAAACCCACTGAGTTGTCTTGAGTCAGGAACTAACTGCCTTAAACTCTCGACCAGCAACCGAAACCCAATATGCAGCAACCGGAACTCTTGTATTCAGCAACTGAAACCCTCAACCAATAAATCCTTCGACGTGATGATACTATTTTGAAAGAGCTAGCAAGATAAATTGACGAGCTAGATCCCCAAATGCACCTAGTAGAGTGGGGCAATCCCCAAATACAAGACAGTAATATAAATACTAAAACGAAAATGATAAAATCAGGTAGATCATGAGTAAGAAAAGTAGTCCATGTGCATAATTGTATTGGTATCGTTTTGCCATACGGCCCAGAGTCGAAGATCCAGGTCCAGATGACTGGTATCACGTGTATTGGTGTCAATGACCTGTGTAAATCTTCTGTATTCGTGACCATCTAGCTTTGCTTGTGAAGAATCCCTTGATCTTGAGTAGGATAAGTTGATAGCTCGCTTCCCAGCTCTCAAATGACACCCATAACCCATATCTTGTGCGTATGGCCTCAGCGGTGTTTGTCCCAACTCTCCTGGCGCAAATCCAGTGTTCAGATGTCCAGTTCCTTGTCAGTGTTTTAGAGTCGCTGTTGATCACAGGTCCAGGCCCCAATCTATTGAGTTGGTTTCTCCCCTTTAACCGTCCCTTGGCACTCTCAATCCTCCAGCAAGATCCGAAACCATGTTCCAATGATGTCAGTCGTTGATACCAACAGAGATAGGGGTGTCCCTTATCTAGGAGAAGTCGATCTTGAGTCTCCAGTGCGTGCCAAACCGAATATGCCTTTTAGTTTACATTCCCTTTGGGTATTTTGCATAGGATTGGATAGATCCTAGCAAGAAACAGGCTCTGCGAACTTTTCTTAGTCAAGATTTCAGAATCACTGAGAGCGATCTGATAGATTTTGACTGGTTCTTTGGCAGATCACACCATTCGGGACTCATGTCAACTCCGAGACGTGCACTGAGCAACAAAATCGACAAAAATAGTCGTTTTCTGGTCTGCCCCAGACTGCGGCTTATCAGCACATTATATACGCGGGCCCGCAAAGGGGTGATTGGACACCCTGGCCTCTCCTGCTTCTCCTCGCCCCTGTTCCTGGCCGCAGAGGGGACGATCGTACATCCCTTGGCCAGGCGCTACTCCTAACCTCCTAGCACTCCTCCCCAGTCCCCTAGTGTCTGAGTTGAGCTTGGCAACAGCTTGACACGTTGTTCTTGGTCACATGCTTCCCACATGTGCGTTCCTCCTACTGGGGCGCATGTTCACTGTCATCACGTGCTGTGTGTTGCGGGCCTGCGATGGCCTGACACCAGCGCCAGAGTGGATGGGCCAGGTCTTATCCGTGACAGATGGCCTATACTGGTGACTCTATAGACTGTGAGGGCTCAAGTCCTATATCCATAAGTAAGAGTATTTTAATGAACTGGAAATATGAATTCTAGACTTTTGATTGTGTCATGAGGTCACATGATGAGCGATCATGTGAGTTTATTACCCAATATGGTAAAGGAGGGGTCCTAAAAACTTTTTCAAGAGTATATCTGTTTTTCAAATAATAACACCCCCTTGGATTGGATCATGACTGTCTCACATGGATGATTTGTTGATAGGCTTCAGATCAATTAGAGTATTATGGTATGATAACCTTAAGTTCAGCCTGTCTTATGCATTACACATACACATTGATAATCAGTCGATTATATGAAATTCTGGTGCTAGCTAGCTGAAATATTTGATGGATTTTGACAGATTTTGATGAAAATTTAGTGATTTACATATTACTCAATTTCTGGTGTTTGTCAGGGTTTAGATTGGGCTGTCGGACCACCTGCCCATGGGGCTGGTCTGGCCTGACCACCCGCCCTCTCCAACCCACCTTTCACCCCTACAGAGACCCTATGCAATGCCTATAGCACCCACCTGATCCTATTCCTAATATGTGTCCATATAAAACCCATACCTACTGGTTCTATTCATTAGGCTAATATCATTTATTCTCTGGGCTGAACACCCATCTCTTCATGCTCCTGTTAAGTGCCGTGTCGACCAAAGGACCGGAGACGGAGTCGGAGTGGGAAACGGAATTGAAGTCGGAGAGCACTTGCAGAAGGATGTTTGGGTGATTGGGGCTTCCAGTTGACCAAGATAAGACAAGAAGACAAGAGCGGAGTCGAGACGATGCTGGGAGATAGAGACCAGCAACATTAATTTACAAACTGAAGTATGTAGTAATACATCAAAGTATTTATAGTACGAGAAGTAACGGAAACGGAATAAGGGATAACAAAGTAAGTAACGAGAGTAGAACAAAGTCAAGTAAAGTAGAAGAGGAGTTGCATATGAGGAACAAGGCATAGATGATTGCATAGATCATAAGTCGGGGTAATTGGAAACTCTCAGTAAATCTTCATTGCGTAAAAACCAAATACCGGACTTGATATCGGCTCCTCAGAACTAGTGCTGTCCAAATATAGATAGGATATACATTTTGGCATATCATATCTGTATTTTGGGGCATAAAATGAAGAATAAAGGGTTCCAATCACTCTAGGAGGAAGTGAAAAACTTACTTAGTATAATGTTTGGGATTCAGACAGGTTGAGAAAAGGCCCCAAACTCTTACTTTTTCACTCATCAAAACGATATGACAGACTAGACAGGGCTGGGGCTACGCCCCAGCTTTGAACTTGAATAAAGCTTACATGATAAATTTCCACATTAAGAAAATTCCCACCTACAGAATGGTACACAGATGCTTAAT